TTTGGCTTGGAGACACCAAGGCACCAGCCGGAAATCAACACAGCAACGGGGGTGGTGGCCTTGAGCATCTGAATGAAAGCAACGGACAGGTACAGGTATGTCAAGTTGCCGCAAATCAAGCTCAGACTGAAGAAAAGACCGATGGGAACAACAGCTCGGAGGTATACGCGGCCGGTCATCTTGACATTCTTACGACCATCAAGGAGGGTGGTGAAGCGAGCCATGCCCTGGGTCATGACAGTGGCGAAGACCTGATGGTACGTGGTGAGAATGACGGGGTAGCCTAGCATCCGGTTAGTCGAGGAACAAGAGATCGTGGATGATGTTGAACGTGTCTGCACGTACGGAAGTTGAGGGTGTCGAGCAGCCATTTGTTGAACAGGATAACGGAGGAGCTGCAAGCGATCCAGACACTACCAAGAGAAAACTGTCAATCCCAGAAGATCCAAACGGACGGGCGTAGCCTTGCGTGACTGATTGGCGAACTTACACGACATAGAAAGCTGGGTGGATGGAGAAACCAGCCTGTCGCTGGCCCTTCTCAGCTTGAGGGTTGACGGTGGGAAGAACGGGCGAGTTCGCAGAGCGCGAAGTCTCGCCAGAGACGCGGCTCTTCTCTTCGCCGGACATGATGAATTAGTCGTGATTTACAGAATTCGGGTGTACAAATTCGATGCCGATGGAAAGAACAAAGAGCGAGGTTGAGCGTGGTGAGATCAACGGTTCGCTGGAGACAGATTTTAGGGTGACGCGCAAACGAGCGGACGGACAGCCAAGAGTCCTGGAACGAGAGTCAAGGGGGTAAAAGAAGGAGGGGCGCGAATATGCAATTGGCGGGGAGCCGTTTAGCTTTGGCCAGGTAAGGGGCTAGAAGAAAAAGAAGGCTGCTTGCGACCAAGACAGGCTTGAGACACACAAGAGCGGGAGAAGTGATGAAAACACGAAGACAGAGAGGCCTTGGGGAGAACTCTTCTTGAAGAAGAGAGAAAAGAAGAAGAAAAAGAGCAAATCGGTCTGGTTGACGGACGGGAGAGGCAAGGAGGCAATTAAAGCTGGCCCCTTGGAAGAATGGAAATTGTCAGTTAGTGGGCAGCGTAGGGGGAAAAAGCCAGATTAGGGGATATCCAATGGGGGGTACATGCGGGATACCTGCAATGGGCCGTGCGCTTGCAGACAGTACTAGAGCAAGGCAGGTAGCGGTGGAGTACACCGTAAAGGCGGCATTCTCTGCACGGGTCCCCTGTCCGGCCGGACGCCACTCACGGATCTCAGGGGTTGAATCATTGAAAGCAACCTGCGGTGGTGCCCTTGACCCCCTGGAGACAGTGGGGAGCAGCGCCAGCCTGCCCATCCATCAATAGATCCAGAGCAGCCTGGCCAGTGGTTCCTCTTCTCAAGGAGCGGGCTCGACTGGCGATACCAGACCTGCTGGCGAATCACATCGCCCACGTTGAATATGTGGCACACACCCTGCTTTCCCGTTCCCTTTTTTCTCAGGTCGGTTGCTTGTTGCCATCTGGCCTGGTCTGGTATGAGGCTGGGGCCGTGTGACGGAAGCAAAACGGTGAGCTTGGGATTAATGGATATCTACGCATCTATAGTGTGTCTATTTGGGGATGGTACCTACAGCCCAGCTATGCCCGAGGCTCACCTCACCTTGCTCGTATAATGATGAGAATGCAGTTGTCTAAACACGAACACATTCGAGGGCGGAGGAAAGGGGGGTGAGGCACGTTCGTGATTGGGTCTAGCCCCCAGCCGCACCAGACCCTCCCGCCCACAGAAACATAGGTTGATAGCCCACCACACCTCCTAATGCAAGTTAAGATAGACACTGATGGCAGAGAGAGGGAGGTCTTTACGCTGAGAGCCCCATACCCTGGTCGAGACAGACATGCCAAGCAATCTACCACGCCGCGTGCCATCATGTCGCGGGCAGATGCGCTACGTTCCGCAGAGCTTGTCAAGAAGCTTGGCACGCAACCAGCACTTGGGGTCAGATCTGGTGTTGAGATGGTGAACTGCCGGGGCCGAGCAGGTTCTCATACCTGCAATGTTCATGTATGAAATTGCAGACGTATCTATATCCGAATCTTATTATGATTGATGATATGGCCGGTTCGACTATAGCGTATGAAGCACAGGCTTTCGCCATCGCAGTCAGTTTCTGAAGGCCTTTCGTCACCCTCAGAGACGGTCGTTCATAATTGTGGACTTGTTCCTACTATTCTTAGGTAGTCTGGCAAGGTCGGTATTCATTTAATACGTAGCTGTGGCATTGACTGGATGCAGCGCGAGAGCGTATAGTTTATCCCCCTCTTCGTCTATTCTCTCCCTCTTGACTAGGGCATATCCTGGAGTGATCATCACGGCTAGCAGGCCTTGCGTACGGGCTCCAGTGGTATTGTTGGCAGGGCGAATTGCGCTGCTCCTACACAAGCCTTGACAAGCCTTGACAAGCTTTTTGTCTTGTGGATAATGACGGCCGCAAATTTCGTCAAGCCAGGGATACATCTCTCTTACCCTAAGAAGCAGCCACTGTGCAGTGTGCACATCCCTTTTAGTACTCTAAGCGTGTGAGCTGCCAGCCGATCTGCGATCTGCCGTTGTTTCAGACTCATGCCAGCCAGCTGCGCTGACTAGGCTGCATCAAGGGAGTGGGCGAGTCGATCACACACTCTAGTTCTGTCCTTCCGAGGCTGGTATTCAGGCGCCAGTCATCGTTTACGTACCTGGTTCAGTGTCCATCTAGCAACAAGGCATTTGATGATAGAATGCGGGCTTTTAGAAGGATGGGGGGTTAGACGGATCTGTAGTCACACCCATCACAACAACCGTTGTTGCCAGTACGTATCCTTCACCCTCGACACAAGGGATACGCAATAGTATCTCCCTCTTTCTTCAAGCAGCGGTATACTCACTGAACCTTCGTTTGCTAAATCAACTGATCAACACGCGTCGTTGAAAGGGCTGTGACGCAAGCAACTCAAAGCCTCGATGACGAGTTTCAGCGTTGAAACAGGCCACCATGTAAATATCGCATTAGACGGCATGAAACCTCTGTAGGCACTTTTGGTGCGGTACGGCACATCCATGTACCATGCTATGTAACGATAATGCTTAATTGCATGTGGGCAAGGAGCAGCCGCATGCCCATTGGCAAGAGCACCTTATTTCCAAGCTCCGAATGGCCTACCATGTACACTTCCGAACGCTGCCACCACTGGCGGTGGAGGGAGTCCGCGGAGGGTTTTGTCATAGTCTTGTCGCAGACTGTTGCAGATGTTGCTCAGGATGTTCCAGGAGATGCCACGGAGCACGTTCCACAACGTATCCAGACCCGCCTCACACGAATCTCTTGCTACAGGACGCAATCTACGATGGACATGACATGCAGATAGCCCTTGCAACGCCGAGCTGGTCGTCATCTCAGGAAATTGCGAACCCCAAACTACGTGATGCGCTACTTAACACCATTGCTGGACAATGCAGGATCGAGCTCATACGGCGGTCAGCGGGACCCAGGAAATAAGCCATCATTTCAATATTGCCCGCCTCGTTTATTGGATAAGGCCTCACACACAGCACCAGGGCTGCTGAAAAAACAATAAACATATCTGACAATGCAGACTTTATTAGCCGCCAAGGTTTTGAGCTCGGGAGCTAAGGGCCGTGGAAGGAGACCAAAGTTAATAGTCGTCGTTTTTAGCCCGACGTTGATTTGCAGATACGGATCCGGCTGAAGATTGCAAAAAGGTACTAACAACGTCTCTAGATGTGATGAAAGTGGACGGCAATTAATCTTACCACACTATCGAATTGGCCGCAATAGGAGCCATTTGGAGGCCCCCCCAGCCTCACGCCCGCGGATTTTGCAAGGGGCACATCAAAAAAGCAATGATGTGCGTGGGAAGAAGGACATTTCCTCCAGACCTACCGCAAATGTTGTAGCCCTCCTCCGTTGGCTGCAATAAGCAGGTACCACGTCTGGCCGCATACGGTGAATGCCAGTTCATGTATCCGCCTATCTGCCTGGCTCGACACCGACTTAAACCCACGTCCTATGTAGCAGAGACTAGCAGCCAACCAACATACCAGACGAAAGAAGTTCCTCACCCTGTTCATTTTACAAACTACTCATGCAGTGATTAATACGTGCTCCAGGTGATTTGTCGCCCCGAGCAGATAAGGCGCTAACAACGGGCTGGGTGTGCTAAGCTCTGCCTGCCCCAGTGTTTGTGCCGGTTGGGAACACGTTTCACGGACGGGCGAGGCTCGAGAATCTTCAAAATGTTTCACACGACTCGCGTTGCAAAGCAGCACGGCGTACAGGGAGATGGGCACCAGCAGACAGTACGGTACAAGCCTTTTTGATTTGATTATGAGATTGTGGTCGCCCGGGACGGAAAGGCAGACTACTGAGCAGCCACTCTGCAGCCACCGTCACAAGCGAAGAGAAGAGCAGATGAAAATCCAGCCATGAAAATCGGTAGTCGTAAAGGGTCCGCAACCCCCCTTTCTGGCGGGCTGCTCGACCCCTGTGGCGAGAGCATCTGGACCAGTCGCACGCTATAGAGTTACCGCTTGCTGTCGCCCCGTTTCTAGTGGGATGGATGGACTTGGTGCTTGGGCAGGCAGGTGGGAGCTGGTAGGAAATAGCTGCTAGGTAGAGGCTAATCCATCACCACCAGGGGGGTGGGGCAATTTGCGTGTTGCCCCCCCTGGACCCAGAATAATTTCAGCCCCTCCATCACCGACTTGGCTGTTCTCCTTTTCTTAGTTGCCCGCCACGACCAGGACAATTGTTATCTCCTCCATGCAATCAAGCTCTCGCCGCTGATTACATCTATCCCCATCCGCCTCCTCCTCTTGAGACCTGTCTCTTTCTCTTTCTGGCTTCAATTGGACCTCCCAGCCTCAAGGACACAACGTCTTGAGCTCTCTATTCTTGCATCACCGCCAACCCCCACCTTCCTCCAGTTCCAACACAATCCCCCACCATGGCCGATATGTGAGTTGTCCTCAATTCTTCGCCAACAACCATCTTTCTGCTTGCCATTGAGCTTCTGAAGCTGACCAATTTGATGATAGTAACGTGGACGTCCTCGTCATTGGCATGGGACCTACTGGTCTCGGTGCTGCCAAGCGTCTCAACCACATTGTAAGTTCTTCACCGCCAGAACTCGACCGATATTCAAAATCTAACAAAGCTTCAGAACGGCCCTTCATGGCTGATTCTTGACTCCTCTGACAAGGCCGGTGGTCTTGCCGGCACTGACACCACCCCCGAGGGTTTCGTAAGTTGCTGTCTGAGCTCATCACCGCCTTGCTTCGCAGCTAACCTGTGACCTTGACAGCTCTACGACGTCGGTGGCCACGTTATCTTCTCCCACTACAAGTACTTCGACGACTGTCTCGACGAGGCTCTTCCCAAGGAGGATGACTGGTACACCCACCAGCGTATCTCCTACGTGCGCTACAAGGAGCTCTGGGTTCCCTACCCCTTCCAGAACAACATCTCCATCCTCCCCAAGGAGGACCAGGTCAAGTGTGTTGATGGCCTCATCGATGCTGCCATCAGCGCTCGTGTCGCTGGCGACAAGCCCAAGGACTTCGACGAGTGGATCATCCGCATGATGGGTACTGGTATCGCTGATATCTTCATGCGCCCTTACAACTACAAGGTCTGGGCTGTTCCCACCACCAAGGTATGGTTGCCCATTGTCACCGCTTTTCTGGGAATGTGCGCTAATAATCGACCTCCAGATGCAATGCCAGTGGCTCGGTGAGCGTGTTGCTGCCCCCGATGTCAAGAACGCTCTTAAGAACCTCATCCTGAACAAGGTTGCTGGTAACTGGGGCCCCAACGCCACCTTCAGATTCCCTGCCCGTGACGGTACTGGTGGTATCTGGACTGCTGTTGCCAACACCATCCCCAAGGAGAAGAAGCGCTTCGGCAAGTCTGGTGAGGTCACCAAGGTTGACGCCGAGAAGAAGATCGTCCACCTTGCTGACGGTACCACCATTGGATACGGCAAGCTCATCAGCACCATGGCTGTTGACCACCTCGCCGAGAAGATTGGCAACCAAGAGCTCGTCAGCCTCACCAAGGGTCTCTTCTACTCCACCACTCACGTTATCGGTGTCGGTGTTCGTGGTGAGCGCCCTGAGCGCATTGGCGACAAGTGCTGGTTGTACTTCCCCGAGGACAACTGCAACTTCTACCGTGCCACCATCTTCTCCAACTACTCCCCTTACAACCAGCCCCAGAAGGACGTCAAGCTCCCTACTCTGTACAAGGCTGACGGCAGTGCCGCTGACTCTACCGAGCCCAAGGAGGGTCCCTACTGGTCTGTCATGTTGGAGATTTCCCAGTCTGAGCTGAAGCCCGTTGATGTCGAGAACATCTTGAAGGACAGCATTCAGGGTCTCGTCAACACCAACCTCCTCAAGCCCGAGGATGAGATCATCTCCACCTACCACCGTGCCTTTGACCACGGTTACCCCACCCCTACCCTTGAGCGTGAGGGTGTCCTCAAGCAGCTCCTCCCCAAGCTCCAGGACCTCGGCATCTACTCCCGTGGCCGGTTCGGTAGCTGGAGATACGAGGTTGGCAACCAGGACCACTCCTTCATGCTCGGTGTTGAGGCCGTCGATGCCATCACCCAGGGTGCTGTTGAGCTGACCCTCAACTACCCCGACTTTGTCAACACTCGCCAGAACACTGAGAGACGGTTGGAGCAGTCCTTTGCTTTCAACACTCAGGAGCTTCCTACTCGTGAGAAGTAAGCGCATTTGGTTTTGCCATTTAACCGGCCCCCCATTACGTGATTTGTTTTGGTGAGATGGGCCGTAATAGAGATTTTGTTGTCACGAATTGGAATGTTTACCCGAGACATGGATATGAGGGAGCATACGAGCGTTGGGAGGACTACTCGTCGCCGTCTGTGAGGCGTGTGGACTTGGCCCAGCAATAACCAGATATACCTTGAAGGCTTCTACCATGTATCACGCATTAGGCTTAATTTTGGTATAGACTCAACCATCCCAATAGATTAGAAATGGGCAAAAGAGACTAGAGAAAAGATACCCAAGTATTGGTGCATGAAGATGTAAATATCGTGACGTCTTGGCGAGCAGCTGTCATGATTGCGCTATAGGTGGTTGCCCTTTCATTATGCAAGATACATTGTCGCTTCGTGCATGGCGAAGACTGGAAACAGTTCTGACGTAAGACTGCCCAATCAACTGGGAAGGCCATCCATTGCGGACAGGTGTCTTCCTTTACATCCATCGAGAGATGGTGAGAGACAGTAGACCTTGTACTCAGCCAAGCTTGTGCTATTGAGGGACAATCCATACCATCATCACCAGGGGTGCGTTCCTGGTGTGTGGGGGGCCTGCTCATGAGCTCTCATCATCTACTGTGGGACTTGAAGAACTACATATGCAATTTGAGTTCAGGATGGGTACTGGTTACTTGCAATGATCAAATCATCTCCTGTCTGCTATGCACAATCCGCGATGCAGCCCGAGGATATAATCAAGCCTACATAGATGCAACAATCCATCCTATCGCCAGCACGCATTTTGACGGAGAACGTGGCTAGCATGCGGCTGAGGGCTGCTGACTGATTCATACAAGACAACCTTGAAAGTCAATGATGTGATGGCACCTCCGATGCAGTGACACTGACAGGTCAACTTTAGCGACCCGGCTCAGTGGTGGGTTCCACAGCACACAGGGCACTGACCACCACTGGCTGCACACTAGCACCAGGACACCGGGACGCTGACAAAAAAGAGCCACCAGTTCATGATAGAGTGAGCTCGTAATATTCGTTCATGCTATGCCTACTCATTCTTGAAGCTTGCTTATAAAATATTTGTGTATATTCAAATGATTTATACGCATAGATCAAGGCCGTAACAGCTTGTTACCTAATTGCGCTCCTTGCGGACGCTCGATTTTCAGAATTCGAGCAGGACCTTGCGCCGAGGCTGTCTCCCTCTATTTTGTCACCGGCTAGCCCCAAGCCACCCAATTGCTAGGAACAGACACCATACATGGAGTGGCTGGCCTAGCTTGGTCGAGAGCCACATCTAAGATCTTCAATCCATACCACATCCCCCGACGCTCGCCTGCGCGATCCCGACGAAACAGCGCACCACGACCAGCAGCGACACTGTGAACCACCTCTGAGTTTGCCCATACCTTGAGTCACTCGATAAACCCCGCGCTCGAGCATGGGCGCGTCGGACAGGCCGCAGACCCGATGACTCCCAACTGAATGCTAGATCACGACCGCCCTCACATCTATCAGCCAGTTATCGGTGGCCTCGCTGCGTAGTGCAGCGAAAATGGACGGCGCTGCCCTCATGACCGAAGACGTCCTTGATCCGCCGCCTCGGCTCTATGAGCGCCTCCACCAAATTGCAGGGTACACATGGGATGAATCAAGACTGCCCTTCCGCTCGACATATGACTTTTGGTGAGTGGGCTCCTATATACAGGGCCATGGCTCTATCAGCCTTGCCATACCCAGCTGACCTCTTTTCACCAGGCACGTCTTCGGCACCCGGTGCGTCTCACCGATAACTCCATCCACCTCCCAGTCGCACAACATCTCCAGTCCTGGTTCCGTCTCAAGGTTATCATCTGGGAACCCCTCACCTGCCGAGCACCCAGGTCATCACTTCGACGAAAACCACTTTGCTGCGCAGTATACGCCCCCGGCCCAGCAAGTGTCCCCCTCCCAGCCAAACTTCCCACATATTACGTCGTTCTTCTCGCCGCAGTTGCCCTCGGAAAGCAGCTATGTTGAGGAGCCAGTGGTAGCACGGATATCATATCATGGTCTACGAGAGGAGAGGGCGTTCCATATCGCCAAGAGCTTGACAGCTACTGTCGACCCGACCGGAGAACATATCGCGAAGCCCATCGATCTATTCCGGCTAAACACCGCGCCCGGAGACCGTGCCGCCGTCATTGTTGCGATCTATCATAACCTGGGTGACAACTATCTCCCCGCTGTACTGGATCTCGGCCCGGCGTATTACAAGGCAAAGAAGGAGGGCGAATCCTACAAAGCTTTCCATGATCCGTTCTTCAAGCTTCACCAGCCCATCAGCCTACAGCTTTTCCTCGATTTCGCCATTGGCGCGTCAAAGTGTCTGGAAATTCTTCACCACGGGCAAGGAATCATTCATGGCGAGATTCGTGGCGACGCATTCCATTTCAACAAAGAGGAAAACAAGGTCAGAATCGCTTCATTTGGGTCCGGCACCCGGTCCTTCGAGAATGGACTGACCAGCACTGGGTGGTCGAGCCTTTCCAAAGAACTCGGCGCCAAAACCAAGTTGCTATACATCAGCCCTGAACAAACCGGCCGGATGCCTGCTGAACCTGACAGCCGTACAGATATATACTCGCTCGGAGTTCTGTTCTGGATGCTCTTGACTCAACAGCAAGTCTTTGACGGGGACACGGCATTGGACATTGTGCAAGGCGTTCTCGGCCGTAGGATTCCAAACGTTTCTGATATCCGGATCGACATCCCTGATGTGGTTGGAAGGATAATTCAGAAGTGTACTGCCAAGAATGTCACGGATCGGTATCACTCGGCAAGTGGTCTTCGCCATGATCTAGAAATGGTCCAGAACTACTTGGCAGATGGGAACTGGGCTGCGTTGAAAGAGCTGAATATTGCAAGCAAAGATGTCTCTTCTTTCTTCATGCTTCCTACAATCATGATTGGCCGGCAACGAGAACGAAACCAGCTGATCAAAGCAATTGACCGCGTCTCCAAATCCCATCCCCTCGACCGTAAAGGACCATCGTCTCGCTTTTCCGATGGATCGATGCTCTCGAATGACGTTGGAAACATGGACGATCTTTCCAGTGAGGGGGCCAGTTCAGCTGATGGAACCACTCGACGAAGCGGTTCATTCACACACACAGCTTCTTCGGACCCTGCAAAACAACGCATCAGTTTCCAGCAATCCTTCTTGTCGGACTCCCAGACTCTTTCAACAGATAATGGTTCGTCCTCCCAGTCTAGCGCGCAGCCTAGGTCAGCTCGCCCTTGGGAACGACAGCAGTCTATTTCAGTTGAAACCCGAAGTCTTGTCGATAGCGTTGGAACCGAGGGCACCCGCACCGGGATAGTTGACTCGCCTGTTTCGAGTCTGTCCAGACAGCTTGGTAGTGCCAAATTTAGGCGGCGTGGCCATTGCGAAGTTGTCACCGTAGAAGGTGTAGGCGGCCTAGGAAAGAGTTGTCTGGTTCAAAGCGTACTGGTGGATGCTCGGCGACTAGGATATTGCGCGACAGCAAAGTTTGACACAACCAGAAGAAAAGCATTTGGACCGCTGCTCAAATTGCTCTCAGCCTTGTTCAAACAGGTTTGGGGTGAGAGGAACACCGAGACCCCTTTCCACCAAGGTCTCAAGCAATACCTTCGGCCAGTTTGGCCAATGCTCCATAGGGTCCTGGGGCTCCCAGAGTTTCTGTTTGGGCCCCCTGACTCCTCGCCATCGCGACCTCTTTCATCCACGGGCTCACTCTCTCGAGGGCCTAGTTGGGCCAGACGCCGCGGTTCGTCGCCTGGCTGTTCTCCTGCCCCGCTGGCCGTGAATCCAAGTATAACATCTCAGTCATCTCAGGATTTTCTCCGTGCGGGGGCATCAACCAAGACCATTCGTTTAATGCAGACGTTCCTAGACGTGCTGAGAGTGTTCACGGCTCATAAGCTCGTGTGTTTCTGCCTGGAGGATCTCCATTATGCAGATGATGAGTCTCTTGAGCTCATTAGCCAGATTATAGGTGCAGGAATGAAAATGGTGGTGATTGTGACGTATCGTCCTGATGAGCTGTCGCCGGAGAGGGTGCAAAGAATTCTCCACCCTCCTGAATCGGAAGGTATGCCGTTCCTAACCACTTGTACGTGGAGCCTTGAGAGCTAACATAGAAGCAGAATTTCCTCGTTCTGGAGGCCCGGTCGTAACAAGAATTCCCCTCTCACCTTTAGATGAAGAGGACATCGTCGAGTACGTTTCCAAGACCCTCCGTCGCCCCAAAGACCAAGTCCTCCCTCTTGCGCTGGTCATTCAGTCCAAAACGGCTGGAAATCCGTTCTACATCCGAGAGATGCTAAGTGCTTGCTTCCGTAAGAAGTGCATCTGGTATGATTATCGAGACAGTGTTTGGCACTTTGATCTGGATAGACTATTTGAGCAGTTCCGTGCTGAAAAAGACTACGATGTTCTTGATACGGCTTTTGTTACACAACGCCTTGCCGAACTTCCATCGACCGCAAGAGCATTACTGGCATGGGCAGCGTTGCTCGGTAACTCATTTTCCTTCGAACTCATATGCCGCCTTATGGGTGGCGAGTTTGAGCACCACACCCAAAACTTGGCAAGATGTTGCGGAAACTCCCACTGCAGAGGTTATTCTCAGCACGATGCCATAGCCGGCCTACAGGCAGCTATCCAGGCTTATATCATTGTACCAAGCGAAGAAGATGACCGCTTCCGATTCGCCCACGATCGTTATATAACCGCTGCTGGGCAGCTAGAGGAATGCAGCGCTCGCCGCATGCATTTTATAATTGCCCAAACTCTCCTCAAATATTACTCAACGGAACGCAGATGGAGGGACAACACGGCCTTCCATGTCTGTGAAGCCGTCGATATAATCCAACAGGAAGTCCCTGACCGCGCCAAGTTCCGTAAGCTTCTTATTACCTGCGCCCAATCATCCATTGAGAATGGGGCGAGGCCAACCG